TCACTTTATAGTCTGATGCGCTGTGGTCAATACACGCCAGAGTGTCTGGGTGAAAGACCCACGGCGGACCTCAAACAGTGCAGAACATGTACACACACACATAACGCACACATACACACGTGTAACACAATATGCACACACATGTAATGCACACACACGAGTGCACACACTCATGTACACATAGCAAGCAAATGATTGAGGAAATGGGGCAAAATGTTAACAAAAGCAAATCTAGGTAAAAGGTATACTCCATACTATTTTTCCAGCTTTTCTGTAAATTTCACATTATTTCCAAATTAAAAGTTTGAAAACAAGGAATGCGCCCTCCTCACCAGCCCTGTCCTACCTGCCTCGAACGTGCCTCTGTAGACTTCTCCTGACCCCAGGACGAGGGCCCCTCTCCGGGCACCTAGGACCTTTCCAGAGCTGTGATGCCCACACTGAGGCCAGAGACTTCCGTTCCCCATCTCCGGGTGTCTAAGCCCAGTCCCTAGGGTGTGGCGGGTCTCCCAAAATAGTCAGGGGGGAGTGAGGCCCTCCCCGCGTGGAGCAGCTCCACTCAGGGACCTGGATGTTCTTGGGGCCCATGAAGCCCACCCTCCCAACCTCTCTACCTAGACTGAGAAATGGCGCCTGCTCCCTTCTCAGTCTCTCCATCAAGACACAGTGCCAAGCTGGCTGCACCTGCCAACCCCTCCCACCAGCCCCTGGAGATGGCTGCAGGCACCACTAACCCAATCCAAGCAAACTGACAGTTTGGACAGAGGGACAGCTTTGGGTCTCCTCCTGCCCGACACTGTCTGGGCTGGATGCCAGCTCCAGGACAGTTCCTGCCCAGAGGCACTGCGCCCTGGACCCCTGATGTGGCTACGTCAGACCTGGGCCTGACCAGGGTGCTGCCCTGGGGAGAGCAGCTCTCCCCTTCCTCTCCCCTCAACCTACAGAAAACCCCAAATTTCCGAGGCAGTTAAGCAGGGCTGAGAGGACATGCCCCTGTCCTCACAACAGGGGCCGCCCACCGTCCCCTCACCTCCCTCCCCCTCCTGGACTCAGGGTGCAGAGGGCAGAAATCGCCTCCCAGGCCGTCAGCCTGCAACAGCCCAGAGCTGTCCATGGTGAACGGTCGAGCCATTCTCCATCTGGAGGAGGAAATCCTGCAGCCTCCCAGCTCCTGCACCCGCACTGAGCTGGCCAGGCACTCGGGTCCAGCCTCCCACGTCCGTCAGTACGGGTGCCCTCCACCTGGCTGGAATGTCTCTCCCCATGGGCGTGGCCCTTGGGTGCTTGGGTCAACTCTTGCACAGGACTTCACAGCCTCGGGCACCCTGTCCCTCTTCAGAGCCTTTCTGCTCACAGCTGACACATTGAGCTCGGACAGCCCAAGTCCCTGAGGCCTCAGAGCTCAAAGGAAGAAACTGAGGAGCTAGGGTCACAGCCGCACACTGGTGGCACTCAGCATCTGTGTCCAGAGCACACTGGACGTCACCGTGTGCCTCGAGCTCCATCCAGTTGTTGATAGAGCTTGGTCAATCTTTGACTCAGGGTGGACTGGACACTTGGGGGATGGGTGACCACAGACACCTCTGCAGGCAATCCAGAGCATGGCTGTGGGAGGCCCCGTGAACTTGCCAAAGGCAGAGGGGCTTCAAGTTTGTCCTGAGACCCTTAACGCTCTGTGCCACCACGAGCGCCAGCAGGTCGGGGCACCTCTCTGGTCGCTCCCGGAGCTGCCCTTCAGGACAGCCACTTCTCAGGGGCGAAGCCCGGCCCATTACTGGCTCTCCCCGCACTAGGGTGGGTGTCGCAAGCAGGAGCCCATCTCTCTGCTGAGGACTCCGTCCCGTGCCCAAGAGTCCCCTAAGCCTGTGCCTGCTCCAGGAAAGAGGCATCTGAACAGTCACTTTCCAGGGTGTGGCCGCTCTCCCTGTCACATCTAGACCTGGATCCTCTTCTCAGAGTCCTTTCCAGTAAATAAAGATGAACTCAGAGAAGAGACAGTCCAGTGGGTGTTCTTTTAGCTCAAAAAATTTCACCATGTGACTCTCATCAACAGAATTGTTATAGAAAAATATGATGCAGGACAATGATTCAAATACCTTTTCTAACATAACTGGCTTCAGAAAAAAGCTGAACATGCAAACCTCAAAAGCGGCTCAAGACCGCAGAGGCAGCGGCCGTGTGGGTAGTGCAGGGCAAGAGCAGGAAGGGGAAGCAATAAGTTATCTGCACACACGGCTAGAAAGGCCCAGGCACACTCTGCGGGCGGCCCCCATCACTCACAGAGACAGGCACAGGGAGCACCCCGCTCTCTGCTGAGAGCCAGGGAACAAGGCTAGTGGGTCGTGGGCCCAGCTCGCGGCTGCCTTCGTCCTATCAGAGTAGAGTTCCTCAGCCCTAGACAGCGAGGAACCCACAGGACCGGATCCCAACCGAGGGAGAAGCCCCCGAAGCCAGCATTCTCCACACACTTCTCTCACCGGACAGCTTAACGCCCGGCACAGAAGAGCCGCCTGCAAACCCAGCCAGTGATGCACCAGCCAGCCTACGAGGATGCTGTTTGCACAGCTACCATCAGACTCTCTGAAGAAGCTTCTAGAGCCAGAGGGACCTCAAAGAGCACATCAGGCTAACAGAACTCACTATCTCCGGCGGGACGGAGGGAACAAGAAAGGCTGACGCTGCTGGATTTCTGGGAGAAATACTAACAATGAGCAGCCCTTTATAAGCAAAACCTGACATGCTTAGAATTACATAAAGTCCGTCTAGTTCTTCCACACCACAACCTCGTCTTTCCTTCCTCAGGTGCACTTGGTCCCTTGAGACCAGGCACTCGAGTGCCAGGGTGCAAGCAACGCAGCCCGACTCTGCTCCAAGGGGTGGGTATGAGCTGGCAGGGTTGGGACGATGCCTTTAGAGCAGGTGACATTTGAGGGCTGGGTACACAGGCCAGTCAGTAACAAGACGAGCTGGTGTCACGGCCTCTGCTCCTTGGAAACCAGTGCACGGCCCTTCCCCACGCCTGTGAGTGCCCCCACTCACACTGAGAGGGGGACACCCGCTGTAGGGGGCACGACCTCTCAGTGCATCGCTCAGCCCATCACAGGCCAGGAATCACTTCATCTTCAAGGGAGCCCTGGACCACACACATAAGAAAACAACAGGCAGACAGAAGGGGCTAAAACGCACTTCCCAAAACAAATTCATAGAAGCAACGTTGAGCAAATGCGGAGCCGCATTTTCACTGGCAGGAGACTCAGCAGGCACAGGACAAACACCCCCCTTCGACCTGTCAGAGTACAGGACGTTTTCCTGTGTCCGTTTTCGCATTTCCTCACACCAAGGACTAAGTTCCGGCAGGGGCATGGCTGCCTGGGAAAGCACATGAGGGCATCTCCTGGGACGATGCTCGTGTTCTGTATCTTTATCCGTTATCTCACACTTGTCAAAACTGTAGCCGTACACTTAAGGTTTGTGCATGTGTGTAAATTCTACCTCAAAGGGGAAACAAACCATGAAGAGACATTCAGCTCTTACTAAACGCACACAGAGTTGCTCAGCGGGAGGTACCGCTGTCTGCAGTGTGAAGACAGACTGAAGAAGGGAGAGAGGAAGGAGGTGGGGAGCAGGTTAGGAGGCAGCAGTGCTGGAGTGTGGGTGGGGGGCATAGGACGCTCACAGCAGAACTCTTGTAACTGCTGTCTGAAAAGGCTTAAAATGTTGGGGGGACTAGAAATTCTGAGTTGTAACAGGAGCTTTAAAAAGTTCCTCTATCTTTCTGACAGACTGTAGCGAGGGGCAAGTGAAGTCACGCTATAATTTACAGTCTGGGGTTGTTGGATCCTCTGCAGCAGAGACAACAGAGGGAGAACCTCAGATGCTGAGAAATACACACGGGCTTTTGGGTAGTGGCCCTTTTAACTGGCTTTGCAGTTAAAAACATTAACCTGTGAGAGGGGCTGAAGAATGAAACGACAGCAGACTTGCTAAATAGGTCTTGTTTATTAAGGCTTGTATTCTCCTAGGGAAAGTTATCCCATGGTGTCCGTGACACCACACAGGCAGTAACAGCTCAGAGAAAGTGACATGTTCTAAATACAAGTCTAAATAATACAGCTTAAACTTGAACTCAGAGGGTCTTTTGGAGTAAATAGTTTTCAGAAGGTATCTGCTCTCTAAACAGTAAGATCCTCTACAATGGGCACGTGCAGATTCAGTGTGCGAGAGCTACAGGCATGAGCACCATTTTCATGCTTAAACTCAAACTCCAGGTGGTGGTGAGTTCAACAGTCCCTCATTCCACAAAACATGACAGCAAATTCAGTTTCTGAAAGGTTTTTTTCTTAACCCATTCAACAGGAAAAAGAAATCAGACACGTGGTAAAATTTACAATCAGTGGCATCATCCATCACTGTCACACTATCAGATCCTACATTTAAAGCTCAGCATTATTGACATAAAAACTTAAATGGCATTAAGATTCTTAAGTCAAGAAAAAGGGGGAATTAAAATGACCCGCACACAACTAAGGACACCTGAACACAGATGCCACCCCCTGCGCACGCCGGGCCCTGTCACCATTGTGCCGGGGCAAAGAGCAGAGCGGTGAGAGACGAAGCGGCCGCTCTGGGCACCGAGACTGCAGGAGGGCATGTTCCAAGGAAACAGCATGTTTCCCAGATCTGGAAAACTAAAATTTGTCGTTCTGTCTAGTAGAAAAATCCAATGGACAGAGTAGCATTTTAGAAAACAGATAATAAAAATGGAGATTTAAAAAAACCAGTCAAACGAGGTGATCCTTAACCTGCTGATTCCAGCATTTGGAAGAGAAGCATTTTAAGAGAATATGGTCCACGACAAAACCACCCACAGTTTATGCTCGCCATAAAGCAACAGAGGGGTGAGAAATGAGCAGTCTCACATAAAGATGCTAAATGACTGTGAATATGAGACTAAGAACATAATTTCTACCAAAAAAAAAAAAAATTGGGGGATGATTACGTTTGTTTCGCTTTTTTTTGTTTTTAAGGATACTTCTATTTCACATTAGGTCAGTCTGAGTGACAAGCTGACAAAACACTCCTTTATTAGTGAGTTCTGCAACACTATAATACATAGAAAAATACAACGAGTGCAGATCCATCTGGGCAGAAACGAACCACGGAGAAGGTGACGACGCGCTCGCCAAGCCTGCGCAGGAGGACGGTGCGCAGGAGGACGGGGCGCGGGAGAGCAGGGCACAGGAGGACAGCCAGGGCCACGCCAGGAGACAGCACCAAGCACACTGCTCTGAAACGGATTCTCAGTCAAACGCGAGAACAGGTAAGAAACCAGTTCATCTTTACTGTTTGTTCCGATTCTGCCGTTCCTGCAAAAAGAAGGAGAAAAAAAGCTTAATGCCTTAAGTGGACATGCCTCGCAGACAAATTCCCTCAAAGTGAGGTCCCAGGGGCCAGCCCGGTGGTATGGTGGTGAAGCGCGTGTGCTCTGCTTTGGCGGCCCAGGGTTCACGGGTTTGGATCTTAGGCACAGACCTATGCACCACTTAAGCCATGCTGTGGCAGGCGCCCCACATATAAAACAGAGGAAGACGGGCACGGATGTTAGCTCAGGGCCAATCTTCTTCAGCAAAAAGAGGAGGATTGGCAACAAATGTTAACTCAGGGCTACTCTTCCTCACAAAAAAAAAGTGAGGTCCCAGGCCACTCTGTGGGCTGCGGCCATAGATCTGGACCCCCGCTCCCCACTGGGACTGGCGACACCAGCACATAGTACTTCCCTCTGCCACGGCAGCTTCAGGGTCCTGGGCACACAGATGGGCCTCTGATAACCAGCCACCCACGGTGTCCACCTGTTCTAGGCAAGGCTCCTCTGGCCAGATTTGTCTCCAACCATAAAGAGAACCATCTTGCTGTCAAGCCTGTGACTCACAGCTGAATCTTTCCCCTAGTCTGCCTACCAGCTTCTCACTAGTCGAGTCAGAAGCCATCTCAGTCTTTCCTTACAACGCTGCAGCTAAATTCTGCTCGACACACGGAAACGCCAGGCCCAGGAAGGAGTGCTCACCACACACTGAGTGCATGTCCCTGCACGCGCACCCTCACGTCACTGCATGAGCACCCCCAGCCTGCCCCTTTCTACCAAGACGAAGCTAGTAAAGGACACTGCTGTGCAGGGCTGGTCAATGGCACGATTCCCAAACAGACCAGATTAGTAGACATTTGAGGCATAATGTAACAAATTGAATCCCTCTCTTCTGCTAAAAATGGACTGAATGTGTCTTCAGGTTAACAAAACACACCAGTTCCCTCCCCCACATCACCCAGGGCAGAAGCACCTTGAGTGCTTTTCAAGCTGGGCCCCTGTCCTGAGCCAGCTCCCAGGTATTTGGATTAACCGACAGCCACTACTCTGAGAATGAACATTTCCTCTCTACCCTGAACTCAAAAGCTGGAAAAATTAAGAACTCTGTATTATGCATTCTCTTTAAAAAAATCACAGGTGCTGCACCTCCCGGAGAGCAGATGCCAATCCCTCTTGAGTTCCACATGGCTGCTGCTGAAGCAACTCAGATGAGGACACCGGCTGGTGCCCTGGCTCCCTTCAGCCATTACATAAATAACTACAAGGTGCACTGCGTGCTCTTTAAAAAATACTATTAGTCCTAAAACTGTTAAATATCCTCTTCTCAAAAAACAAACTTAACAAAGGAAGTACGTACGGCTCATTCTTTAGAAGAACGCTCAACAGCAAATATTCCAGGAAAGGCTAATTCTTCACATTCTGTCTTAACTCGGTTTTCTGCTGAGTCGCCGATGTCTGTGCAGAGAGGATGCTGGGCCGGGGCCAGGGCCGAACTGTTACAAGGAACTCCTCCACTTGACTCTCAGTGTCACTCAGAACCTGCACTATTTTAAGCACCCTAAGGAAAGACTGCTGCTAGATTAAAAGCCACACCCTTAAGGACCTGGTCTGACAGGCTGCCATTAAGAGTTAGTGCCTCCCGAGGGAATCAGCATGTTTTCAAATCAACGGCTGAGGCGTAGGACAGTATGGCAATCCTGCAGAATGTCAGCTACATTTTACTTTCTAAACACTAACGTCTTTAAACACTGTGTGCATAGTCATTTGAAAACAGTGGAGTCCAACTCTAAAGGATAAACTAAAGGTGCGTGTGTTCCCAGATGTCCTGGGATAGTCTCCCGCGCAAACTGCTGGGCGGCCTCACCAGCAAGCTCAGAGTTTGCAGGAGTCCCTTCCTGACTTCAGCTCAGCACACTGCATTCGTTAAGAACACACCAAACCCTCCCTGGAAATCCAGAGGAGAAATTATTAGAAACCCAGAGTCCCGGATTCCGACTCCTGAATGAACTGATAACCACGGAGACCAGAGTGCTCTGCCCGAAGGTACTGGGGACCAGGCTGAGAAACCCCTATACTCCTCTACACAGCCTAGTGGGCTCAAAACAGTTAACCAGAATGTTAACAAGTCTGGGTTTCTACCTGTCACCTTCAATAATAAGAATTAATGTAACACTGATACGTAAGGGCTTTTCAGCCTGGCTAACTCATGGTTTGGGAGAGTTACCAGAGTCTTTCCTGTGATGCTTCGCCTCACCTCCAGAGCATTCCTGGGGGAGAGGGTGGAGGACGGATGAGCAGTGCCCAAAGAAGCATCACAGGAAAGTGACAGAGGAGAACCCTGAACTGTTAATGTTCTGGGAGAACTCCAACTCTCTCTCAAGCTCCCTGGAGGAAGACCTCAAAGCCGAGAGCCCCACGGGTCTGACTGCAGGCAGATGCCCCGTGGACGCCGCCACCTGGAGACTTGCACTTCCCAACAGCCTGCCTGCTAACGCGGTCATCTAAGGATCTAGTTGCTACAATGGAAGTTGTAGGACAAGAGAATCTTAAAAACACCAACTGGTTTAGGGACAGAAATGTATCCCTAAGCTCATCACAACCTTCAGAACCCAGTGGGCTTAGGAAAAGACCCAAGTATTATAGTATTTAAGAGAAACTACACACACACAGCCAGCTGCCAGCTTAAAGTCAACTCAAGACCTCAAATTTCATGACCAATGATCTCTGTTCTAGCCCTGTAAATTCAGCAATTATTTTATTTTATACCTAAAAGAGCTAAAATATAGAATTTCAGTAACTGAAAATAAATGACAAACCCTTCTCTTTTCCGCACAACAGTAAGAGGGACCGTTTTCACAGTTTTGCAAACCCTGAGTTGTTAGTCTGTGTAACTTTCACAACTGCTCACAGTACTGTGCATTACCTACATGCCCCATCTACATGACTTTCTGCTCATAATGCTTCAGGACACCTGAAGCTCACACATGGTAATGCTACTTATTTAATATGGAAGACTAAGAAAGGACTGAAAACCCATCATCAACTGACAATTCATGAAAGAAAGGACATTTTAACACCAAAAGAGAGGAGAAAATCTCAGGCTGAACTCTCTCAAAGCAGCTTTACAAAGTGTGTTATACTGTCCTTATTTTCCCATTTCTGGGCCAGTTTATGGGCATCAGAGCCCCGTTCTCCTACAGAGCAGACAGATTCACTCCAGTCTCTGGCAGTTTCTCTGTAGTGTAACAGGAAATTAGGACTATCTCAGAGACCCAACTAAAGGTTTTCTCCATTGGTTCCACATGCTCATATTCACTGTTAAAAAAAAGTCTGCATTCCAAACCTCCCCACCAACCCCAGAGCTTCCCAACTGCTGAGGGCAGTGCCCTGGGACCCCTTGGTGAGTGGGGCCCCACAGCCCCCAGGCCCAGCCCCAGCCTCACTTGTCTACCCCAGTGCTGTAGGACATTATTTCTAAATGTTTCTGACTTGACAAAGACTAGGAAGCACTGTTCTAGGAAAGACCATGATTCACGAAGAAAAAAGAGTAAATGACCCTCAAGTTCTTGATAACAGAATTTGTGCACTGTGGTCTCATTGTTATGTTTCCTGAAAATTGAAAAAGGATCACAAGTGGCGTACTGACGGCTACTGCAATGCCACCTCTGGTTACTCCCGGTGACCACACTTGAGGAAGCCCGGGGAATGCTGCCTGCACGCCTCCCTGCCCACGACCCCCAGACGGCGCCCCGGCCGACACCCCGTCTCAAGCAAGTGCCTGGAAAAAGCAGACTCACCTTGCGCACCACTTCCTCCTCCTCCTGGCGCTTCTCGTAGTGAGAAAAGTCGTCGAAGATGGAGGTCGTGTGCCTGTAGGAAGCGATGATTTTCAGCACTTGCTTTGCTTTTTCTAAGGGCACCTCCTGGGTATCTCGGGAGTTTGTGACTGGCTTGTTGTCATTATTCTCCAGTCTGATGTGCCGCAGCTGGTTATTGGGCACATCCTTAACAAAAAGCCACTTCACGTCAAACTTGCCCTTCCACTTGTCCTGAGACCAGACCCCAGCACTCGTGCCATAGTCCACGGGCGACTTCATCTCGGCCACCCCGCAGAAGTGCCCACTCCCGTTGACGCTGAAGAGCAGGTAGACAGGCCCCTTGCTGCTCATGGAGCGGAAGGCGCTGTCCAGGCGCTTGTTGCCGTGCTCCGTGCTACACCAAATGGAGTACTTGATGGAGCGGTGGATGTCATCCTCGGAGTAGCTCTTTATTATGAACACACGTCCACTTTTAAGATTCCAATCAAACTCTTTAGGATTATAGCTGTGGGCAGCCTTCAGTTTTTCAAGGACGGGGTGGGATTCTACACTTGGGGCAGAATTTGGCTGGGTATTACCAGAAGAGTTACTATCACCACCAGTCCCTCCGCTCTGCCCAAATGTCACGTTTCTATTGCGAGGGGCGACCCAGCGGGTTTGGGGTGGCTGCTGAGGGCTCTGATACTGTGGCTGGGCCAAAGCAGGAGGCTGGGCAGGAAGAGGCTGCACAACCGGCTGGGGCTGTGGGGCCGCCTGGGGGGAGGGCGCCCGCTGAGGAGCTGGGGCCTTGGGCACGGGCCCTTTGTTATCCCACGTGCCAATGTCCATGTTATGCTTTATAGGCGGAGGGGGCAGCGTGCCCCCGATTACCGGTCCGCTCTTAGCTTTCATTTTCGGCTGTGGTTTTGCCGGCTTGCTGGCAATGGCAGCCCATGAGGTCGGCTTCGAAACTGGCATATTTATATTTGTCCCACCACTGCCGGAAAGGACACCAGTCATCGCTACACTGCTGACGACCGACCCCACCGTTTTGACTGCAGAGGTGGTGACATCTCCGATCTTCAGGCCCACCATGCCCTGCTCCAGGCTGTTCATTCCAGGGGCCTTGTTGAGGGTATCACTGTGAAAGCCCGTCTGCCCATCCACGATCGTGCCACCCAGGGAGCTGGGTGGGTAGGTGTAGCTGCTCCCGTAAGCTGAACTCTGAGCCTGCTGCCCTTGAGACCCACTCGTCCCCCAGGCTGAGAAGGCAGGGTTTTCAGGGAAAAAATTAAACCTGTGCTGATAGATGTTGTTCCCCAGGCCCCCAGGCTGCCCAAAAACAGCATCGTGCATAAAATGATGGTCTCCATTACTGAGCTGTCCATAGGTGGTGAGGTATGGGATGGGAGGGTCCCCTCCAGTAGACCACGGCGCCTCATTGACGGAGTAAGGAAATCCGATGGATGGTGGGTAATAGCTGGACAGGTAGGGATCGGCCATGGAGGGGTAACTGTTACTCTGCGGAAACAAGCATGTGACCAGTTAAACAGCTTTCACGACACGAGGAGACACGGAAAACGACAACTACCCCCTGCTTAAGTGCAGGCTGATGGGAAACAAGACTTGTATAGCACTGGCCATCACTTCCATGAGGAAAGCTAAGATCGCTGGAACAGACTGGGAGAAGCTAATAACAAACACAACCCAGGTGGTCATCGCCAAATACAGAGCACATCTGCGATGGCCTGAACTCAGTGAAGTGACTGAGCGCGGCTACTCCAGACCTGGCAGGGTGGCAATCTGCTCAGCAATCCCTCCCACTTCCCCTTCAAGAAGCCATCCATTTAAAGGAACAAAATCTCTGACCCACTGGCAATCGTGCTCACAATGGACACTGACAGCACGGGCAGCACAGAAGAACCTGAGAACGGCTTTAAAGAGGCAGTATGCTATTGCTATTTCCAACAGCAAGCCGCGACATTCAGGGACACAGGGCATTTACCCCACAAACTGATTTCAAGCTGATTACTGGTGGGCGCCCCACCTCATCTGGAACCCCCTTTCCCACTGCTGACCCACAGGCCTCCACACCACCCGCCAAGGGCCACTTCAGAGGCCCCTTGCACACGCCTTTCTGAACAGCCCGCCCCCATCTCCAAGTGCAAAGGGGTCTTGCCACTCCACATCCCATGGTATCCTGGGCACAGCCAGGCTCTGGAATGCGCCTGGCAGCATGGAGGCCCTGGCTGGCTCCAGCTCCTTCGCCAAGAGTAAGCCTCCCACTCTGCTCTGGGCTGGAGAAGCCCTCACTTCAGCCTCCAACCTCACCTGGGCTCCCTTAGTGAGAACACACCTCTCTGTGGCGGCCAGAAACTCGGAGAGGGGGTGTCAAGCAGCTGGACCCCGAGGCAGCAGGGCCTCATCTCAGGGGCCTCCAGAAAGCTGCCCAGGGCGGGGACCGAGACCCAATGTCCGCAGTTCTGGGAAGGCGTCTCCTTGGAAAGAGACTCACCCGGGAGGTCTGGTCAGAACTGCTGCTGTCTGGGGTCACTTAAACCTGCTCCTGGGGAGTGTGAGCAGGAGGCAGGGTGCTGAGGAGCAGGAAGTGAGGGTGAGGAGGCTTCCACCCAGGGCAGCTTGTCTAAGAGTGGAAAGGCTGTGAAGGCAAACGAGAGTGGGGGCAAACGTCAAGCCCTCCACTCCGTGAGGCCGTCTTCTGATCTCTTAATGGTCCCTGTCCCCTCCCCCCCGTCTCCCAAGCCACCAGGAAGTTCTGCATGGAGAGCACTGGCTAGAGACCTCCTCTCCAGCCACGGAGGGTGGCCGGTGTCCTGGGTGCAACCTCCAGTCTCAGTGCCCGAGAGGGGAGCTGAGCTGAGGCAGCCGGCAAGGGTTTGGAATACCAGACAGCAAAGCTGCTCTGCTTCACTGGAATGAGACGGGCACTAACTCCCCGGACCCCCTAGAAACCCTGTGGAGAACAGGCCGGTCCCTCAGCATATCCCAGCCCTACACATGACCATGGGGACCGGGGGGACCCAGCCACCTGCTTGCCAGTTTCCACGGCCCCCTCCTGCCTCCCTGTCCCATCCTAGGATTCTTGAGGCTTCAGGAATCCAACTTTCTTCCTGGTGGCTGCTCCAATTCACAGCAGACTATTCCAGAATTGCCTTTTAAAATGCAATAACTTTCCCCCTATCAAAAATCCTTGAGATTCTCACGGGATTAAAAAAAAAAAAAAAAAAATGACAAATGGGTACCATCGATGTTCTCTAAGCATGGGAATAGACTGAGCTACCCTCCCTTGAAAAGATTTCAGTGATTCTGGCCCCTTTATTATAACCTCTCCCTCAATTTGCCTCCGCCCAACCTGAGCCTCAAGGCAGCCTCTCCAGCGGGCCAGAGACGGGAAGGAAGGCTAACCATCTGGGAGGTTTGGGCAGAGGACTTGCTCTGCTCTGCAAGAGGCAGCCCCAGGGGCTTAAGTCTCGGACCTCGGTGCCCCATGGAAGGTTCAATAGGACAATGGGGATGGTCCTTCCAAAGGGAGACCTGCCCTCCTCCCGTCAGCTGGGCACACTCTTTCCTCGCCAGGGCTGCGTTCACATCAACATATGCTTCCTCACCCTTGAGGGGGGCACTTGGGAGAAGAGGAGACCTAAGTGGTTGTGTGGCATTCCAACCACGTGGTCACAAAACCAGCCAGAGCAAGGGGAGTGCAGCCACAGAGCGCTGTGTTCTACACAAGACCCCCGAGGCCAGCACCACACTTCTGATTGACACTTGAGCCTTAACCATAACAGGACAGAATTCAGAACATGAGACGACATACATTACATTAACTGTTTAATGTCCCTCAAAATCCATCTCAAGTTTACTGTCAGATGGACAACCTAGCATCCCAGTCACACCGACCACTCTGCAGACAGGCGGTTCTCAGCTGCTTCCAGCCAGGACTGCCTGGGAGAAACACAGGGCAACTCAGCCAGTATCATCTGAATCTTCATCCCCAGTCACAGGGGTAAGACCAAGGCAGGGAGGCATGCAGGGGAGACCTGGGCAGGCTGCCTGGCGGTGGCAACCCTGGGAAGTTCTCAACCCTCTGCTCCTGTGATTTGTCAATGCAGGCAGGTCACTGTGAGGTGAGCACCAGGAAAGCTGCAGCTTACTAAAATATCGTACACCTATCTGGACCACAGATCTTTCTTAAAAACCTAAATTCATACGAGAAAAGGAACAAAGACTCCTCACTTCAAGTTCCCAGATGAAGAAACTGCAGTTTAATAACAGCTTCCTGAGAAGTGGCTGCAGGGGCACCAGAGGCTGTCCTCACGGGCACCAGGTCCCACCTCACACTGCCATTCTCAGGGTCCCCCAAGCACAGGGCTCAGGGCAACCGGAGGTGCCGACTGTCAACACGGGAGAGCAGGGCTCTAAAGCAGCCCTGCCCAGCTGCTGCCCACGCTGTCCGTCCTCACCGGCCGCACAGCAGGGTGACCTCGAGGGTAGGGAGCCTAATTTCCATTTTTACCCTGATCTTACTGGCAGCCTATTTCCTACATCAAAACTCTGAAAGTTAAGCAGCAAATTAACTTGCACAGCTCTTTGAAAGAAGGCATTTCGTACAGTAAGAAACCCCAGAGACATGATGCCCCCGCAGCTGGGCTGCAGTCTGCACCTCACCCCTCCTCTCCTCGCCTTGAGGGAAGCAGTTCTGGTCAGCCTGTGGGTCACAGCCTGTAGTACACGGGGGACTGTTGGGCCTGAACATATAGTGAAACTAAAACTAAACTGACTTCAAATGTGAACCGCAGTGCAACCCCCACCAACTGAAAACGCAGAGCTTGGGCTGCTCGCGAAGCACGGAGCCTCCCAGAACCTTCACCCCCTTCGCCCCGGGCACGGTGGGGCACAACTCGGGGTGCTCACCAGGAACTGCTCCCCAGACAAGATGCACTGCAATCCAGACACTCCCCAGTGTGGCTCATGTGACACCAAACAAGTGCCCTACTGAGTCAACTGTGCTCCAGGTCACGACTATGAAAGTTTATTTACCAGAGAGATGGACGCACAAACCCAAGTGATGAACACGAATTCCGAGCTCTCTCTCAGCATGTTAACTGGGCAGTGAAAGGAGCAGCACAGTATGAACCCTCTTAAGGACAAGGCAGGTAAACCACCTCCCTGACGAACGCTCTCCCAGGCGAGCCTGCTCACTACAGCCTGCAGTACAACCGAGGGCCTCGGAGAAGGCAGGCTGACAGCTCTTCAAGGCAAAATGAGCCCAGTGAGGCTGGAAAGACACCCCAAACGCTGGACTCTCGGGTGACTAAGCTGAAAACGATCAACACAGTGAGCACTGCAAACAAAATCAACATCAAATGTGGAGTGACCATCATCCTAGGTCATTTTCTTTGAAAAACCAAAGAGTAAAACACAATAAAGTCATAATCTATTTTAGAATGAAGAGCTTTCCATACTGAAATTTAACCACATTAAAAAAAAGAAACTCTCGAGCCGGCCCCGTGGCTTAGTGGTTAAGTGCGCACGCTCCGCTGCTGGCGGCCCGGGTTCGGATCCTGGGCGCGCACCGATGCACCGCTTCTCCAGCCATGCTGAGGCCACGTCCCACATACAGCAACTAGAAGGATGTGCAACTATGACATACAACTATCTACTAGGGCTTTGGGGGAAAAATAAATAAAAGTATTAAAAAAAAAAAAAAAAGAAACTCTCATTCTGAATGATCAGAACCATTTATTTTAAAGTTGAAATGTTTGCTTCCTATATCCATTTTTCCGAAAAGGAAAGAATCTGAAATTACTCAAATGCTTTAAGTTTCACAAACAATAAAGTGACTCAGCCACTAAAGTGAGTGGCCAAGAGGAAGGACGGGAGGGAGAAACAGAAAGGACCCTTCAAAAGCCCAAGGCAAACAGAACACTTTCAGAGATGTTGAGAAGCATCTACTTAAAAAGGAAAAAAAAACCTTCAATAAATTATGTAGAAAGAAAAGTGTCAGGGGCAATTATGAAAACAGTGACAAAGTGACACAGACTCCTGGGAAACCAGCTCTGAGCCCAGGCCCGCCCCACCGTTCCTGGGAGAAGCCCTGGGGGATGCAGAGGTGGCTTCACATGCTCAAGGCTGCAGTTTCAGCCCCTCAGCTGGTGAGGTCATATGCAAGATGCAGTTTCTGACAGCCACAGAATTTCTGCTGTTGTTTCGTGCCTCGAGGTGCGTACTTGTGAGCAACCTGAGGACAAGAAGTATGTTAAGATTCCACTTGGTCCTGCTAGCTGCATTTCGTCCCTTCTGAGTGGGCACCATTGCTGTGTTTTAAGGATGCCCATAGGGGCCAGCCCGGTGGCATAGCAGTTAAGTGCGTGCGCTCCACTGCAGCGGCCTGGGGTTCAGATCCCACGCACACGCCGACGCACTGCTTGTCAAGCCACGCCGTGGCGGCATCCCATATAAAGTGGAGGAAGTTGGGCACGGATGTTAGCCCTGGGCCGACCTTCCTCACAAAAAAAAAAAAGGATGCCCATAGCCTTCAGATGCAACTGCAAGAAGCCTATGCCAGGCCAATGCCTACGTGACCAAGCGCTCCTCGCTGACCCCTTGCTTGGCCTGGGGCCCACCAGGACTGCCCAGCACAGCAATAAGCCAAGTGCCAAGTTTCTCCGAGGCTCTTTGCATGGAACAGACACCCTAACAAGGCATCGATTTAGCCTGGCTTTGTGCTGCTGGGTGAAAAACCACCCCAAACGGTGACAGAAACCCTGCAAGACAGCTGAGTGCAATTTTCAAGACGAGCTTGCCTTTAAACTGAAACACTTCTCGAGGCCAGACAGAAGCCCCTTGCAAAGAGAGGGAAGAGGTACAAATTTCAACTTAACCACATAAGACAACATTTGAGAGATGGCATACAAGGTATCAAAGAGATGTCACGCAAAAGCCCACGACATTCTACACTCGTAAAACACACCCCCCCCGCCCATCAAGTGGGCTGTTAGATGTTAGTTAGCTCAGGGTCAGTCTTCCTCAGCAAAGGAAAAAAAAGAGGATTGGCATGGATGTTAGCTCAGGGCTGATCTTCCTCACACACAGAAAAAGAAAATCATCTACTCCATTTTTAAAGAAATCCTCCCAAGTGACACAAAAGCTTCTACTTTATGAAAGTATATTTCAAGTGTAGTGAAGCAAATTCTCCCTTTTTTGTTTAAAATCCAATACACAATACTGCTATAGTATTCAAGTCATGTAAGAAAAAATAAGATTGTCAAAAAAATAAGTCCATTTAACTCCCTGCCACTACCTCTGGCCGGAAGCCCATCACTGAGGCCAGGTCAGTTCTACTCTGCAGCACCCCGTCCTGCCCAGACGGGCAGATGCTCAGGAACTTTCAGCTGCTGACTTGCCGAGAGCAACAGGAAGGAGGAGGACAGAAAGGTTCTAAGAACTTCTAAGATGCTTTAGAGAAGGGCAGATTAGCAAAAAAAAGAGGCAGATTAGCTTTATTCCACCACAGGGAAGATGCAAAGCCTGGTTTTATTCTGAAGCAAACATGCACAGTACATTTTAAAAGTGGTAGATATTATGCTTAAACCTGAACTTCTACTAGCCTAGTGGTTTTAACCAGGGCAATTTAGCCCCCCAGGAGACATTTGCCGAGACATTTTTGGTTGTCACGTGGTGTGGGGGGAGGGGGGAGCAGTTACTAATGGCATCTAGCGGATGAAGGCCAGGGAAGCTGCTAAACATCCTACAATGCACTGGACAGCCACCAAAACAAAGAATGCTTCAGTCCTAAATGTCCATAATACCAAGGCTGAGAAACCCTGAAATACCTAAGAAAACGGGGCAGCTACAACGGCCGTGTATCAGGTACCATCCTCCCAACGATTCTATGAAGAGTTACCACTATCTGTTTTATATAAAAGGAAACAGAGGCACAGAGAGAGCCAGCCAGCTGAGACCGTGTCACACAGTAGTGGTGGAGTTAAGACTCGAACCCAAGGCCAGAGCCAAGCTCCGGAGTCCAGCTCTCAGCTGCTCTTCCAGACCACAATTCCAATCGTTCAGAGCTAAAAATAACTCAGTGGACAGTCTTTGGGAACTAAGGGCACGGCCACTCCACCAAAGGCAGCGCATCACTGACCCCCCAATGCTGAGGCCAACTAGAATTCACCTGCATGCCAGCTCTGGGGTTGGGGGCGGGGGGTCATCTCCTCTAGAGGAAAACCCAGCTTCACTGCACTCACGCCCCACAGTTAACACGAGGCTAGTCTTCACAGCAAGTCTTCGTTAGCACTTTCTACTATTTCTAGTGCTTTATAGTGTGCCTCTTTGTCAGTCAGCATAATAAGGTCAGAAATATGGCAGCTGAGGTGTATTACAAAACTAATGTAAAAACACACGTTAGAAAATGAACTCACCTGATTTGACTGTCCAGAAAGGTAGGGCTCAAAGTCATTGTCATGAACCGTGTCCTTCTGATGCAAAGAACCATTTTGTGCTAGAACAAGAAGTTACAAAATATTATCTTTGAATTTTAAAAAATTAGTTTTAAGCATGGAAATTAAAGATAGTAAAGTCTATGTCCATCAATTTCTAGGAGAAAACGCTTTTATTTAAAAATGGACACAATCAGATTAGAACTGATATTTACACAACTAATTATAACGGCGATGCAGAACCTTCAATAATTTAGGTTAAGTTTTAGATGAAGACTTAATCATAACTTGGTAAATGTCGACAAAATAAAAGTACAAACAAAACAATGAAAAGAACTTGTAACTGGGTTTTGGTCAAGATGCTGTGGTCTGGGAAGACCTGTGCCTGCCAAACAGAGGGTGGCACTCCCAAAAGCCAAACTGCACATGTCGGGGAGAGGGGACCGGGAAGCTCAGCGCAGTGTTGCAGAAACTGAAGGACATTCTGAGCTCACTAGCATCTGGCTGTCCACTTATCTTCCACTGTTACAACGCTCAGCCAGAAAGGGAGGAGAAAGGCAAACACAGTGCTGAGCCTTCTCCAATCTTAAAACACCATACAACATATTTGGTTACACCCAAGTAACACACACGGGTTCAAGACAGTCTTCCCAGTACACATGAAGTGTCCCTTAACGGGTTCTCACAAGAGTGCGTTTTTGGGGTTTACCCCAAACCAGAATATCATAAGAGACCATAACAGAAAAACAACACGGCTATAACTTCTGGGGTGTGGAGCCAGCTCGCAGGGCCAGCCCCGCACACCTGTGGGCGCACAGGCCGGTCGCCAGCCCGAGCCTCCTTCCCTTCCCCGGGCAAATCAACCACTCCGCGGCAGGAGGAAGGATGCAATTCCTCTAACCGCCCATTCATTCCCTACTTCTTGAAAACTCCCTGTTTCCGACCCGTCAAATCTCCCCGAATATCACAACCTCGTCTCATCTCCCAGGAGCCGAGGGAGGAAGTCTCCGGCTCTAGACGCCGCTTCCTAGACCTTTCCTCCCCGCCCAGGGTCCGCCGTCCCCGGCTCCTGCTTCCGCCTCCACGCCGGGGCCTGCGCGACGTCCCCCTTTGCTCACCTTTATTATCCTGTCCTTTTGTTCTCTGCACCGCCGCGGGCCGGGACGTGCGAGCAGACAAACCCGGGGAGAGGGAGGCACAAAGTTATCCACCAGGACCCCTCCCGGGCGGGCGGGGTCGGTGCGGTCACACGCGACCCCGGCCCGGCCCCGTGACCCCGGCCCCCGACACCGTGACCCCGGCCCCCGACCCCGT